ATATTTTGGCTTCCTGTCTGGATAGTGTGGGGAAGTGGAGACCATCTTTGTAAACTATGACTTCTCTAGGATCTAACAGTCAACACAACACAACAAGCATCAACATACAGTTGGTAAGTAAATCTGCTGATCCCGTCTTACTGAAACTTTGCACACCTCCAGCAAAGTCGACGATTAAAGGTAATTAAACCAGTAATGCTGAATTTTCAAACCTCACATGACCCAATCACCAAACCAGCGTTCAGTACCAAACCTCAATGTTTAATTAAACCTATTATAACTGTGGCAGCCATGATGTTAAGTAACCTTGACTGTAAATTCAGGTTTTAAATGTTGCGATGAGTCGGTTTTCCAGCCACAAGGACACGAGAGTCAATCGCAGCTTTGATTCTGGAACACAAATATCCACAAGCCGAGCTGTCCAATGGTGTGACAGCTTCCAGGTCATTACCATGGAGACATTTCCCACTGCCACCATCTGTGACATTAACGTGACGTAAGTCCAAACAAACCATTTTCCTGCAGCAGCAGACACCAGGAAAGTACAGACACGGCGAGACACACAAAATAAACACTTCCTCACACACGAGTGCTGCATATTTCAAAATGATATAAAATAGCTCAGTCTCGGAGGAAGAGATCTAGCAGCTCTCTTCTTTCCATCTGCTCTGGTTTCTACCAGGCAACAGCAGGATGATGTCGCTGCTCGTCTCTGATGGAGGCGGCAGAAGCACCAGGTCTCCATCAAATGCTTTCCACTGTGTGTGTGTATGTGTGTGTGTGTGTGTGTCTGATGGGATGAACAGGCCTATCCCTATAAATGCAGCAGAGAGCCTCTCCAGCAAAAGGCCTGCTGGGCAATGATGTGCACAAATGCGCAATGTAACACCGCCCACCCAATGGTGCACAAGTCGGTCAGCGTGGCGAAGGCTGTCATGCATGGATGGAGCTGGACTGATCATTGCAAAGCAACGCGTGCAGTATGTGGAGGAATATTTTACTGGGGTGTGGATGAGAGGAGGAGGAGGGGAGGAGGGAGGGAGGGAGGAGGGAGATTGGAGGAGGCTCCTTGGGACCAGAGTGGGTGCACAGGGATGATGGTGGTGAAATAAAATACAAAGTAATGAATGTGCAGCAGTGACAGATAATCCAGTGCAGACACTGGTGTTATAATAAACCTGAGACTGAAGGAGGAGGAGAAAAATACATCAATGCATGTTTGTGCTCCAGTTTTCTCCTTCTCTCTCTCTCTCTCACTCACACACACACACACACACACACACACACACACACACATAGATGAGGCACACACCAACCTTGTACACTTGTCCATAGGTGCCATTTCCCACCACCTCCACCAGCTCGAAGATCCCAGCAGGATCCTGCGTTTGGAAAACAAACAAATATGAATTACTTGGTGTAATTAATTGATTCCCTGTTGCAATCTAATTACAGAGGGGTGAGTTGGATGTGAGCACCGGCAGCGCCCGGTTCTCTGGCCTCCCCATGCCAGCGGATATAAAGACAAAGAGGAGCCGCCTCTTCTCATGTGATCGTGCGGTGGTTCCTGTGGGGAAACCAGCGGGTCTGTGGGGTGTAAATGCCCGGGGGGAGACACACTCACCCGCAGGGAGGCCAGGTCTATGTCCACCAGACTTTTGGCCGGAGAGTCGTTCGCCATTTTCGCAAAAAGAAGCGGAGCTAAATCAGCGGAATAGCGGCGTGTGTTCGATCCTCCTTCAAGCCCGCGATGCGAGTCTCATCCTCGGGTGGGTTTAGTCTTAATCCCGCCGGTGGTGTTCTCCGACCGAGGCTTGTTTTTCCCTCTTTGTAATCCCGGTGAGAGGCTCCGCTGCTGCCGCTGCCTCCGCTGCTACATACCGAGCGACTGCCGGAGCCCCTCTCTCTCTCTCTCTCTCTGTCTGTGTGGCTGTCTCTCGACCACGATTCCCCGCCCTCTCTCTCTCTCTCTCTCTCTCTCTCTATCTCTCTCTCGCTCTCTCTCTCTCTCTCTCTCTCTGACAGGGGCGGCTCTAGAAGATCTGGGGCCCAGGGCAGAAATCAGCTGCTCGTGAACGCAAGCGTCCAACCGAGAGACTCCGTACTTTCTGCGGACTTTCTTCGGTCGCTCCCCCGGTGTAGTTACAGACCCCCCCCCCCCTTCCCGAGTCAGAAGTTGCAATTGGAACGACCCCTTGAGTCAAAATTTCGTCTCAGAACGTCGGAAGAACTTCACCACGCCCGACTTCAAACTCCAAGATGGCCCCTCCGTGCATCAACAGCAGTGAAAGCTGTAGTTTGTACTGTTTATTAGTCCTTCTGTCATTAAATGTGTCGTGTACATAGAACTGTCCAATTACTGTTTGCGGACGTAGTGTTAGTATGTGTGAAATATGCGTAATTAGGAACCGCTAACGTAAAACATTGTTCCTGTATACAGCTGGAACGACTCAGGTCACTCAGCGTGATGTGATTCCGAGCTCCAAGCATACAGCCCTAATCTCCTCAAGCTGCTTTTCCGACATGCACCGAAGTCCGGAGAATCTCCGCACTTTCCCCAGAGGAGGTGCACGTGTGCACGCAAACGTCTGATTGCTTCCTGCCGCGCCCGGCTGTGCAGAAAACGTCCTGCTGCGTTGTGCCTGTGTGAAAAAAAGCAAACTGCAGGGAAGTGTGGACCTAATTCTCTGGACTCAGGGGAGCTGTTATCTCATCCGTCCATATAAAGTCAAGAATCTGCAGTGGTGGTTACTGCAGCTACATATAAAGATGGACAACATCTCTACCACCCCCTGGTGGCTGGCTGCAGTCATAATACTCCTCCGTTTTAGCTGACGGGACACGGACCACGACCCAAAAGTCCAACTTTGTGTCTCAGTGAAGTTACAAAAGCATGAGATGCTGGCGTCTGTGTCTGGGATATTCTGGCTTTTTTTTGTCCAACAGGACGAAGTGAAGAGAAAGTAGAAATAAATCAGCATTTACTGGGAAAAAAATTAATTTCCAATCCGACTTCTCCCCGTTTTTCCCGCGTCTCCTTCTCCCCCAGCCTTTTGTTTGTGTCTCCTCCTGTTTCTCTGTCGGGCGGATGCACGGCAATTAGAGCACGGCAAGATGGAAAGTGATAAATGTTTCAGCAGCGCTGTCACCGCTGTGTCGTTCTGTTGGAGGCCACGATCTCCACACACGCTGGATTCAGTCCTGCTGCCGTCACTCTCACCTGTCACTCACCACTCGCACTGACATCAGGCGACACGTGCAGATAAAGTGTCGGTCACATCAGCGTCTCCCTCACCACCTAAAGATGAGCTGGTTCACTGTGGTGAGATTGTTATTGTAAGATACCGATGAACTAGAGTTTACCCACCAGGTCTTTTTCATGGATAAGGTGGAGTTAATATTTGAAAAGAAGGATTAAGATCAGAGCAGGAGTGTTCCAAGGGACTTTTGGGGCCCAGGGCAGTAGAGACCTAGGGCCCCTTGTTCAAAAAACACACAAGACACAAAACCACATGATTGACCAAACGATTCTCTTATTATCACAATTATAAACTGAGTGCAGACTGTGAATAACGTAAATAGTAATTAAGTTTATTAAAAACTCCCACCACCATCCCAGAAACATCATTCTCACGTCTAGAGACGTTCCAGTTTTCATCCAAACCTCACAAATTACTTTTGGCAGAAAGTGAGAAGCACGGGGCCTCGTCCAGGGATTAGACAATCTTAGAATTTAAGGGGTTCTCACAAAAGTCTGAGACGAACAGAAATAAAGAAACAAGAGTTGTTGTTGTATTAATTGTATTTAGCGTACATCTATTCTTTGTGTTATTTCTGTTGTTATTATAAGTAGAAAATGTATAATTTGTTCATTCCTAAGATCCTTAAAGATCAATAAATCTTTGAAACAAGACATATTAAGATGAACCAGCTCTAGCTAAGAAAAAAAAAGCTTCTGTACTGATGCCCTTGAGCAAGCCACGTCATATCCAGTAGAACTTGGCAGGACTGAGGGGGGGGGGGGAGTAACACAGGGTGGTGATTAAAAACTGCACAATGCTGAGCTAACCCGGACAAACAGGAGAAAAGTTGCAGGTGTGGAAATGAAACCAACAGCGCCCGAAGCAGCAAAGTTCAAGAATAATATTGTTGAAATTTAAATTGCAGTCCCACTCATCTATTTCCCCGTCAGTGACCCCAACATCTTTCCCACCGCTGCCTTGAGTTCACTGGCTCCTGGTGTGTTTGGTGCCAGGTTTAAAATAACTTCAAATCATAAATCACACCCCTGACAAATGTAATCCATGTTTTTAGCTGCCTACAAGCTGCCGTGTTGACAGGACATCAGAACACACTGGATGTGGTGCATGAACGTGTGGAAGCTGTTTGAAAAGATGTTGTCCTCAGAAGAACCCTTCCATCCTCGTAATCTAATTTGCAGCAGAAATTGCGGTGTCTGCTCTCTGATTTGTCTTCTCTGTGTGAACCCTGCATGAACTCAGTGCTCACAATGCATCCCAGCTGCTATTTCACTAACCAACACTGCCCCCCTATGGCACATAGATGTGGTGCTGTGGTCTTCGGCTGCAGGAACAAGGGACTTTAAAAAACAGGGTGATACAGAAACACGTTTCCTCAGATGTTTCAGTACAGTGGTAAAGAGCTTCATCCACATCAGCTCAGGTCAGCGTCCGTCCCTCAGACTAGAAATAATCTCAATTTAAACCGGGTTAAGAAAACATGTGGTTCACGTGTGTCTGAGGAATCACACGTCATGTTATTTGATCCATGTTCCATCAACACAATCTTCACTATCATGTACAGGGGTGTCACAACAGGGTGGGCAAAGCAGGCAATGGCCCGGGGCCCCGAGCCGAGGGCACTTACTGTTGTAAATGTTATTTACAAACATGAGCACGCTGCTGTAAGGGACTGATTATCTATTAACTGTTCTTCCTCTGACGATAACACGAGCTTCCAAAAAATTCCAGAGACAAGACTAAACATGTGATTTTCTTTATTTGCAATAAAAAATAGGTATAAGAGCTCCCTTTACAAATATACCAGGGAAATGCAGCACATTGTGAACACTGCTCCTGTATGGAGAGCCAGCAACTGCAGTGGAGTCACAAACGTTTGGAAGGACAGAATTATAGAGGAACAGTGCATTCTCCTGCACGCTGGTAACGCAATTACAACCACAGGCATCCTACAATCACGGCTTAACCAGTTTTAACTTAATCATTATGGGATTTTATTCATTCATCCATGATTTTATTAAATCTAATGGTCTGCAAAGGGAGTTAAATTTGAGCCATCGACAACCTCCAGATGTCAAAAAGCACACTGGAGAACAACAAATACGTTTAAATTCAGTTTCCCCCGAATCCCAAAACAAATCTTTATGTGCAAATATGTTTTAAATGCTTTAAATCTTTCCTTTACTTCTTCCTGATTTGTTCAGTGGGCACGAGCTGTGATTGGCGACAGGATACAAACAAAACTGGGATCATGAGAATGCAGCTCTACAGCGCCGTTTATTTCAACGTTGTTTCACCACCTCTAGGTGCTTCGGAGCTGTAACATATTCATGCTCGCTGTTGCTCAGGGCATGTTCGTCAGGCCTCAAGGATTCACACACTGTGTTCTGGTGAGAAAAGAATCCATGAGTATTTGTTTACAGGGAAACCCCCACAGGACAACTTCTCTACCAGGAATCGCATTACGGCGTGCGTTCAAATGCACCGAGACAGAAGGAGATCGAAGGAGAAAGAGAAAGGAGAGGTTTAAACTTTCTTTAAATAAAACATTAAAAAGGCCTCCGAGTTACATCGATATACATACAAATCACACAACTTAAAATTTTACCATACATGTACACATACGGGCATTTCAACGGGAGAAAGAGAAAAAGCTAAACCTATATCCAAGTCTGCATTAGTCCAGAGATATGCTACAACAGGACGCTTAAGTTCCAGATCGAGTGAATCTGGGAGGGTGTGTTTGTTTCTGGATTTTCCTAAATGCAACGAGAACTTCTGTGTGAGCCCCGACGTGCGTGAACGTTCTGCCGTGACGAGAGGAGATGACGTTGTAGAGTTGTACTTGTTCTTTTAGTGCGAGAATCATGGGCATGATCACAATCCTGAATCTGAACACACTGATTCTCATGGTGCACGTTTCTTTGTATGAGGTACACGTCCACTCCCTGGTGAAGCAGCAGATGTAAAGTTCCAGGGTTTAGCACGTGAGTTTTGGCTCAGTCAGGAAGATTTCAAGTGAAGCAGCTGTTGCAGGTAAGGGATTGACACCTCACGTGAACCTCACCATGGACTTTACAAATGTAGTAGGAGGGGAAATAAAAAAGACATCCACTTACTACAGGCAGACAAGTACATTCACTTGCTTGTTACCATCATGCCGAGTGTTTTTGCTTCATGTTGCAGTGGGTGAGTTCTTGTCTTGATTCCGTGTCTGCACAGCCGCACTGCAATGTGACAGGCCTGCGTCTGTTTCAGTTTCTGTGAAATACTGCGGCATATGTTATCTTTCCTGTTGACACTGTTTTCTTTACGGTACAATTGTAAAAAAAAACAAAAAAAAACTGCATTTATATTGAGCTTTTCTCGTCTGTCAGCCACTCGAAACTCTTTACATGTACGACTCACTCAACAACTCACACATTCGCACACCAATGACGCAGCATCAGGAGCAGTTTGGGGTTCGGCGTCTTGCTCAAGGACACTTCGTCAAACTCTGGAGGAGCAGCGGATGGAACCGCTTTACCTCCCGAGTCGTGCCGCCCAAAGTGATAACACGTTTTTGTTCCTCCAGAACAAAGTCAAGCGAATCGTCCAGTAGAGACCTAAATGGAAGTGACAGGGCTCAGCTGGACCGCGTTTACCCCAAACTTAACAAGGTGAGAGGTCACTCCTTCTCAATGTTTTGTTGCTCAATACAGCCAGTGAAGTTGTTGGTGGGAGGATGAACAGATGGACAGAAGGGAACGACCCTCCTTCATTCCCAACAGAACAGACTGTGACTTCACTACATGTATTAACGAGAAAATGACCAAATGACCATTGAATGACCAAACGGAAATGTTTGAACTGCATAGAAGCCCGTGCATCTCCGGTCAGTCCACCCTGCTATCACCGTGGCCTCTTGCGCGTGACAAAGATGAGGACCCTGCGGATGGCAATGAGTCGGTCCTTGAGGGAGGTCATGGACAGGATGGTGAGCTGGGCTCTGTTCTCCAGGGGAAGGACAGCGAGCAGCCACCAGCACCAGGCCGGACCACTGGGACTTCCCTGCAGGGAAGAAAAAAAGAGACAGAGCTGGTGAGTGAATCTGTTGAGTATTTCTTTAAGGCTGGAAACAACCATCCTAAATTTCACATCAACCTAAATGCAATGAGACGGAACTTTCCTCCCTCCAGTCGCTCACATAATCTGAAGTGATAAAGAGCTCAGTATAGTACAGTCAATATTGTTTCAGCAGACATCAGTGAACTGGCATCTTGTTTTCACACCTGTGGGTCGGGGTCTTTGCTGGGAAGGTGTCCGAAGTGGCTGAGTATCTGGCTCTTCATGTTGTCTTTCAGCGACGTGAACCAGCTGTTGGCTTGGTCATACACCGAGTCGTGCAGCTTCAGCAGCTCCACCAGCTCCTCTCCCTCCACCTGAATAGAAAGAGAGATTGTATTTTTATACCTGCCTGAGATCTGCTTGACAGCACCTCGATGGACAGTGTCTAAAAAAAACCATCCACTGACAAACCTTTTTGTCTTCCAGGTACTCTATCTTAGCCGTGTTGTAACCATCTCTTTGGCCGTGGCTGAGGACTTTGAACCGTGACACGCCGATGGTGTCGACCACTGAACGGCCATCAGGAAAGAACTTCACATCCCGAACCTGAAACAAAGTTGATCTTGTATTAGCAATGATAGAATCTATTACTTGACCACATACAGTCAAGTGACATCTGAGCAAGAAGACAAAAAGCAAATGTGTGTCATCCTGAACCAGCTGCAGACATAAACATTCACCTGCAGCATGCAGCCGAAGTCGGCGAATCCTTTGAGCTCATCAGCTATGCACATGCCGAACTGCTTGGTACCAGTCTCCATGGAGCGGCGGATCATGAGGCGGTAGCGCGGCTCAAACACGTGCAATGGGCATTGGATTGTGGGGAAGGCCATGGTGCACACAAAGATGGGCACTTCTTGTTTCAAGCTACAAGACACAGTGAAGATGTTGTTAAGACTTGGGTCCTTTGAGAGAATCTAGAAATCTAAGAGAAAAAGATTCCAAAAGGTTTCAAAGAAACTCACTTGGACAATTCCTTCATTTCCTCTTCGTGGATTTTCTTCCTCTCGTCCAGCTCGTCTCCTAGGTAACGCTGCAGCACTTCCTCCATCAGCAGGGTCTTTTTGTAACCCCTGGTGGCCAGATACTGCAACAACATCACCGAAAACATGAGTATACTATTTATTACAAATAACACTTATTTTAATTATTGTGTAGTCTGTCAAGATTTTCTGTTTGAATCTATAAATTATTTGGTCAATGAAAAACAATCCAAAACCCTTATTGTGTATAAAATGTGTGTGCACCTCAGCAAGGTTCTCCTTGCACAGGGGACAGTTGGAGTTGTGATCCAGGCAGCGCTCCAGACACTTGAGGCAGAAGGTGTGTCCGCAGGGAGTGGCCACAGGCTCATAGAACAATCTGGAGGACAAAGGAGCACAGCTGTATTTTACAATACTGCACCAGCAGGATATTCAATTCAATTCTTTACAGTTTTTATAAACTTTTGGTCCTAATTGTTTGTGAGTATTGTGTTGGCAGGCAGCTCATCTGTGTGTGAGTACGTGCAGTCACCTCATGCAGAGCGGACACTCCATGTCTCCACTGTCCAACAGGTCGGCAGGAACAATCCTTCCTCTGCTCACTGAGACCGACGTCTGCAAGCTGTTCGCCCCATCTGCACAAAAAACATTACATCATTATTAGCATCTTATTTATCAGCTACATCAAGCTGCTGCAACTACTGAATAGAAGTACATTCAAGAACTTGTGACAGTTAAAGTAATTCAATCATATTCAGATATCAGTGTGTATTTTCCCAACCATGTCTGAGCTGTTTGGAGGGGAGGTTGAAGGTTGCTGATGCCTCGTCACTGCTGTGTTTCCTCTTAAGGCCACCAGGGGGCGCCGGTAGTGCAGCCAGGACGTTGGCAAGGCTCTTCGTGCAGCCTTCCACTGCGGCAGGGTCCGATTTACAGGGTGTCACAGTGGACAGTCTGGAGGATGAGTTGTCCACTGGAGCATTTTTCGTCACACTGAACTCTGCGTCCTGAACAAAGAAACATAGAGAGCGATCAGAGCTGGAGTGAGATTATAGAGGAATGATCCTGACAGTGACACTGTGCTCCTGTGTACCACTAATCAAATTCATGTGAATATAAAGACACCAACTGTTAAGTATGCAGTAAGTATTCTGAATGATAATGCAGTGCAGCTGACCATGAGGGTATTTAATACTTGGGGGAGGAAGTCACAACAGCAGCTGCAGTTACTTTGTTGGTGTGTGTGTCCAATGTCTCAGGAAACAATCAATTAGATATTTGATATGAACTGAGATGAACCTGCAAATAAAATATGTTTTGCCTGATGCCACGTTCACATTACTTGTCCAAATTGCACACATAAGAAGAACGCCCTTTACTACTTCAAACAAAAGTGTTTTCAGATCTGAGGTCATAAAAACCTAATAACTATTATTATAAAAGCAGGTCACACACAGTCTAGTTGGCAGCAGTTTAAATTTACTGCCTGTGATGTGGCAAGGTGAGAGCAACAGGCTTTTCAGTCATCGACTGTTTTGACTTAACATTAACAGAGAATTAAAATCAAATAAAACACAAGGGGTTGGACATAAATAGACGGAAAATTAATAGTAATATACTTTGGTGTAGGGCGTGGCAACATGTGTGAGTGTGTAGTTACCTGTGAGGAGGAGCCCGGTCTCTGTGTGAGAGGCCTCAGAGACCTGAGCAAGGCCGGGGGTTTGATGAGGCGGTTGGCCAACCCTCCCTGCAGAGGATGCAGTGTCGTCGGCATGTCCTCATTCTCAAACACGGAGGAGAAGAGCTCGCTAAGGACCTGTGTGTGGAAACAGATTAAGACACTGGATCATAAAATTACAATCAACCAAGATGGATGAGCAGAAGGGAACACAAAAGTTTGCCAGTCTATATAATATGATACACAAAAGCAGCAAAAATGATAAACTAAGAATGTGTATTTATGTTGGGACTATCTATTAAACTGTGTTAGTTTTAGATAGATGTATAAACTGCCTTTTATATCTTTGGATGCATCAGGTTACTGTTGGAAATACAGTCTGAGCTCAGGAGCTGCATGAACATGTTAGATTTAAGAATGTTTGGGACTCGATGTGGAACTTGAATGAGCTTCTTCTCGTACCTTCTGAGTTTCCAGTTTGACTTTGGTCCAGTCGGGCTTCAGTGCCACACATAGGAGGTATTCCTGCAAGGCTTCATCATTTCGGTCTGCTTTCCTGAGTGCTGTGGCTTTCAGATAGTGAGCCTGAAATCAACAAAAAGTCAGTGAGCTTGATTAGGACAAAGTATTTTGTTCTACATGGAAAAAACTAAGAACAAAACACATTAGAACATATCATTTCTTAAGTTGATGCTTGTGATGTTGAAATGTAAAGTGTCTGATTAGAATCTGATCCTAATAACATAACATTTATCATGAGAATTAGCAGTATCAAACATTATGAAAAATCTTCTTGACATTAATGCTAATTGATTCTGACCTGCGGCTCCATGTCAAACTTATGTCTCACCTTGGTCCAGAGAGGTTTTGTTCTGCAGAGGATGCTGGTGTCCTGCACTGCCTGGCTGAAGTTCCTCATCTCCATGTTCAACTCAGCCCGTTGAGACAGCAGTCGGCCTGAGGATGGCACTGTACACCACAGGAAACACAAACACAGGAGGTCTCAGTGACTTCAGAGGACAATACTTTGACTCATGTCCATATTGTTAATTCTTATTATATATTTCTTATCATCAATCATTCCATTTACATGAGGTCACCACCACATGTGTTATGTCATGACCACACACACAGGCACACTCACGCACACTCACACAAACACTATCAGGTCACTGGATAGGCCTCAAGGGGTTGGACGAGTTTTTCAAGGTCTGGTAGAATTAGGGCAGACATATAACACGTGACATAAGACCTGTGTCACGTGTTATAATGCCACAGAACTTATGTAGTTATACAGTATAAGTTAATAACAGCATTTAATGCTGGTATTGTTGCTTTTATTCACTTTTGGCAAACTACATGTTTAAGCTTGGGTCAGTTTACATTGTCTATTCATAACAGGGCTGGGGGAAACTTGTTTGAAGATGGTCACCTTGTGTGCAGGAAATAAAGACGGACAATAATTACAACACATTGAATATGAGAAAAGTTAAATTAAAGCTCAATGTACAACATGAGGACTTTGGAATGAGGGAAAAATGTCATCGTCACCCATTGCACACGATAACATGCGATACAGTCGCCAAAAAATGGTCAAATTGGTTTTAAATGTTCCACCAGGAGGAAAAACCATAAGCTCCTGTACAAGACTCCTCTGTAATCCTGTCAATATTCAGAACCTGCGGGTTGGATCTTTGCAAGGGACGAGGGACAGCTGACCCACTTAGGCAGGAATAAACTTAGGAGGACATTAACATGGCTGTGAAGTGCATAAGATGCCTCACATCCTCAGTCTTTAGTTTCCTTCCCCTCAACAGTTAATTTATTTTAGTTTTTACATTTTCTGTCTTTTATATTTTTAAAATACTGAGTGTATCTAAAAAACCTTCAGCTTTACCATGGCTACACCAAACAAACTCCACTGTATTGCACGTGTCCACTTTACCAAAACTTTCACTGTATCATCTTTAATGTGCAAGTGCAATGCATAAGATGTGTGGCATGCATAATCGTGGGAGTGTGGGGGACATCGCCTAAAAGGCACAGGTTGGGTAACAGCTTTATTTCTGCTGACATCATGATCTCATTACACTCTGGCTGCATCCACACCAGAGGGTCTCTCCTGCTGCCTGTATCGAGAAAACACCAACTGACTGTACCAAAGCTGTTAGGCACTCTGTCCTCCTGTTGCCCAGAGTCCCTCACAAGACAGAAGGCATGAATCAATATTGATCCGGGGAAGAGAATATCTGCACAGACGCCATTTTAACGCTCAAAAGGCCACACTAAAGGGAGGAGTATAATCCCCTTGCTTAAGATTGGAATCTCCTATTTCTTAATCCGACATGAATGTAATCACCTGAGATAGCCTGTGCCTTGTTTAACCCATTTAGTGAGGACAACAGGAAGTTTAATTTCTTATGTGACCTAATATGAAGGGGAGAGGGTAGGTTCAACTTTCTCTGTGGATTCAAACTCTGCCACGTGAGACTTGCTCTGGCATTCGATTAATGAAACACACCAGAGTACGTAATGAGCTAAGAGAAAAGAACACCCTGTATTTGGGTTATCAAGGTATGAGCTCAGCTGGACCAGGGAGGCAGCTGCTTACAGTGACAAAAGCCTGAAATCAAGTAAAACATTAGCGGTAAGTAAAAAAAAAAAGAGCTGTGACTCTGCAAAATTAGTCAAGAAGCGACATCATCACTGGGATATTATCCAACACCCTCAGAGGAATGAGGATGAAGCCCACCACGCAGTTAAGGAATGTGAGCATACATTACACAAATACATGTAATACATATATATATAATGGGGATTTAGTGAGAAGGTGTAATAATTAATGAAGTCCAGAAAGACACATTTCTTCCCCACAACATTAAAGTGCTGCAGAGTATAAATAGAAACCTGTGTGAATGTGGCAGTGGGACGCAGAGGATCAAATGTGCTCTACTTAGGTAATGGGGGGGGGGGCGCGTCATATAACGCCTGACCTCGGTGCAGTCCAGATAGGTGGGACTGGCGCCACCTATGGGCAGCAACGGGAAGCTGGGCTGAGGAAAGTAGGTCAACTTTGCAAAACACCCAAGTTTTGATTTCAGTCAGTCACGTTGAACACAGACAAACATTTGTATTAAATATTCTTGCATGAAGGCTTCTCTTACCTAGATCCACCGCAGCATCGTACTTCTCCAAGGCCCCCGAGAGGTTCTGCTTCTTCCACAGCACCTCTCCCTCGATCCAAAGCTTCCTGGCTTTGCTCTCAGTCGCGAACAGTTTATCCAACAGCCCGCTGAGAACCACGTTGAGTCGTCGCTCGATTAGCAGCCCGTCTTGTTGGTGCAAAGTGTGTTTGCATTGTGTGCAGTCTGTGACAGCTTCGTCCTCCAGGCAACGTTTGCAGAAAGTGTGCCCGCACTCCACGGTGGTGGGCTCGTGGAGCAGGCACTTGCAGAGGCGACATGAAAACAAGTCCAGGGCTTCATCGTCCTCACAATCCCCGTATTCATCAGCTCCATCCTCCCCATTGCTGCTGCTGCTGCTGCTTTTACCGGTTGTCGTCCCGTGGATGCTCAGCTCTTTCTCGCGGAGAGTCCGGGCGATGGTGTCCACAAGGAAGGGCAGCTCCTGCGGGCGCAGCTTAGCGAGACTGGCCGCTGTGCAGTAGGAGTCCAGCGCCTCGGATATCCGTCCTGCTCGGGCCAGAGAGTCAGCCTTCCTCAGACACAAGCCTCGGTCCGGATGCTGCAGGTCGGACTGCTGGGAGCTGTAGATCTCCGCGGCCAGGTTGAAGTCCCCTGCCCGGTTGGCCTCCTCTGCCACCTCCAGCATCTCGGGGCAGATCCCCGCGGCCCCGGGGTTGGACAGCGGGTGGACGAACAGCTCGCCCTGGTGGGACCTGAATCCCGTCTCCATCTTCTTCTCCCGAGGGGAAGGAAGTCAGTCACTAAGACGGTTCACTGACGGTCCGACAGACGCAGACCCGACTCCTCACGCTGACCAGAAATCATTCCCGCAAAGTTTGTTTACTCTCATTGAACGCGTCAAAGGTGATGCCCGCCTCGGCCCGCAGGTCCCTGGAAGTGGGTTACGACTCGTCCCGAATCACACGACCTCAACCTCGGTAAAACGAGCAGCCTGTGTAACATCACTGGTCCCAAACACCCAGCGGTGGCCCCGGCAGCGGAGAAGTTAACAGGGAGCCGTGACCTGCCAACGCCGGGTACGACTCCCGGGGAGGAGGTGTTATTTACAAACAGAGCACATCAGACCTCCCTCGACCTCACACGCTCCCTCTCGTCCCAAAACACAAACTTCCCCGAGCTCCGTCCTTTTTAAATAATTCAACGACTCTACGACATGTTAATAAACGTGGAGCATGGAGGGTAAAAAAAAAAACAACAACCCCGCGAGCTTAACGTTAGCAAGTAAGAAGCTTACTCTCCACTTGCTCCCTCGAGCTAACTCGACCTTCGGTTAAGTTTAAACGCAGCAGAAACGTCCCGTTCGGCTTTTAGTTCTTTTAAAAAAAGTGAACACTGAATAAAAGCAGACGGTTGAATTGTTTGTGTTTCTCTCACGGAGCTCAAACACAAAGCGTCGTGGCTCCACTGAGCCGCAGCCGTTTTCTTTTTTTTTTTTTTTTTTTTTTTATGTAAGCCACCCCGGCAGCGCTAGCTAACGCTACCTGCGGCTTCGCGTCAAAACTCCCATGAAAACACACTCTTCCCCGAAGGCGACGTGAAAAAAAAAAAAAAGAAGAAAACTCCCAACGTCCTCGGGACTCCCGTTGATTGAAGAGAGAAAAAAGCGAAGCCCCGGTGACAGAGAGAGGGAGACTCAGTCAGTGATGGCACTTCAGCCCTGGTCGCTAGCCAGCTAGCATCGGCTGCTAGGAGGCTGTCGCTTTCCTTGGATCGCACGCGATTCGCCGAAGCGGGTCACGTGACGCGCTCGGCGGCCTCCCATTGGCCCGCCGCGTGTCTCGCTTATATAACGCGATGATATTGTATAACCCGTCGGTGGCGACGGAGGAGAACCAGGAGCTGCGAGCTGTTCTTATAAAACCAGCTCGGCCGCGGGTTCCCCGACGACATCTCGTGTTGGTGGAGGAACAAGATGCCTCCAGGTGCATTCAACACACACCGTCGGGTTGCGTGTGAGAATGTGTGGGAGCCCCTGTGGCAGCTGTGAACCCACACATCTGGCTGTGGGATGGAGTCTCACTTTATGTAATGCTTTATATAAGCACAGTTTTCAGGTCAGAGTTATATATTGTGGGACTGCACGTCATAGTTCATGACTTCAGCCTTTAAATGAAAAGAAAGAAATGATAATAACCTGGATTTTTTGTTGTTGTTTTTTTTTACAAATCCCTGTCGTCAACATTCCCATGCAGGGAGGAAGTGAGGGGGAATAAGAATGAGGTCGTGAGGTTGGGTTTGTCTCCAAACTTCTGAACTCACTGTGCAGACTCCACCTTACATCATGAGGCCCTGTCGCAAAGAAACCTGCGTCCCAGATATCACCTCTATCATAAATGTTCTAAATTTGTTAGATTTTTTCAATTAGACGTTGACGGACACTCTAAGGCAACACATAATCTGGACAGAGGAGCTACATGCAGCTCCGAGACGTTAAAATCTTGTTGGAGTTCCACTCCAGAGACATCTCAGAATTTATTTAAAACGTGGTTCTTTAAGGTTTCACAACTTTTTCAGATGTAGACAAAATGCAGCTACATAAATGAGGACATGATGAAATATGAACACATTATACAGCATCACTTACACAATTTAAATGTTCTTACTTGGACAGTTTCATAAGGACGACATGAACTGCTGTCTCATTTCCCTGAAGTACCATATAACCATCCTCATCCTCATAACCATCATCCTCAACATGTAATGTTATATATGTGTGTGTGTGTTTGAGTCAGTGTGAGGAGAGGCAGGTCTAACAACAACTGTCTTGATAAGGTATCATGCATTGATATAAGCAGTGCTCTAACACAGGTGCAGACGTGTACATGTGCCAAACACACACCTCACAGTTAATGGTTATTAAACATCGCGACCTGGTCATTTTCTTTCCTGCTAACACATAAGACATTTGTGTTCATCACATTATGAAACAGGTTTGAGTGACCCACATTTTTTTAAGACTTATTCCTCATGTTTTGTAATTTCTTGACTCGGAGCTTTGAAATGGAAATGCTGTTTGTGAAGTGTGTCCAGCGCAGGAGGTGACAAAAATTAGTCATTGTTCTTCCACTGTGCTGCAGACTTAAGATACACCCACACGTTTTAACTTTATTTAGACATCAGCTTTTCAGTAATGGATGTCACACTCAAACCTTAACACCTCTGCACCACTGGGAACAGAAGAATCAAACAATCATCCGCAATCATAGGATCTGACACCAATCAGGATAAACACAAAAGTAACACAACAGTACTTGTTGTAGATTAGTCATAATTCAAAAGATAATTATACAGTTGTTAAAATGTTATTGTCCTTTTGTTATTGTGTTTAACTCTGAAATTTCAACACTCAATGAATGAGTGAAACCTGTATTCTCCCAAATTGATGGGTTAGCACTTTGTCAGTGCAGACGCATTACATATAGTTTCACAAATGTTTAAGAGCTCAGAGATAATAAGCTCAACTTCACACATACTGATTATCAAACCGATAACTAATTCTGACGTTTTGTCAGGTACTAGTACGACATACATGGTATAATAACATCACATCCTGTAAAACGCCCAGTTTCACATTTATTCACAGTGCAGCTGCAGAGTTTCGAGCCACACGATCGCTGCCAGCATCTGATACCACACCTTGTTTTAATCCTTGAGGTTCACCTGAGGTTCCACTGCTGCACTGTAATCCTCAGGATTCCCCAAACAGTCACTGCCAGCATGACTCAAGGCAAAACAGCCAGCAGATCATTTGGAGAGACGCCGCTCATGTGAGTGTGACACTGTGTAGAAAACAGACCCGATGACTATCAGCACGATGTACACAGTCGTAACCACCAAGCTGTTTCAGTTTCCTCACACTCAGAGCGTTGTCAAACCACAATCTGTGGTGCTTCGCTGTGTGACACCGTATTTACACAGCATATGCTTGGCTAATTCATCCGACCACATGACCATATGGAGTCAAAGGCCAGATGGAATGACGGCTTTAAACATTGATCAGCTCATCACACTCACATTCTAACCACGTTCCTTTATGGTAAACGTTGTTATATATATATTTTTTTTTTCTTTCTGGAAGCTGGTGGAAGGAGAAGTCAGGCAGCAGCCGAAGATTTTAATGTTGACTTGATGCATCAAGGAGACCAGGAGGTGGAACTAACAACATGAGCACCAAGTCTGAAGATGTCTCACACAGCATCCCCATAAATCTTCCTCTACTTGCGTCATCCATTCTCACAGCACATCCACCAAAGGCTAGAATTGCTGTCGCTCTCTTTGTTACATGTAGGTGTTCACATCCTATTGGAGAGTTAAGCCTAAAGCAGCTTGTGTTCTTACGTCTTGCTACTGAACTTTCATGAACTTTTATATCAGCATCTGAGTTAGATATATAAGTTCATGAGCGTAGACACTACAATGCTCTGCTGGTTGGTCATCTATAACCTGACCTTGGGTGTTGCTTGGAGAGAGAAGAGAGTATGAGTTGAATGAGACAGGCTCTGTTCTCCTCATGGTGCTCGTCAGATGTAATGTGTGAGGATGGTCAAAGATTCCTTCACATGTTTTTATCATAAACCGATCTGGACATACAGCAGATGTTTGTTTGGTTTGCACAAAGAAATCTGCTTTAGTGAGGCTGATATACAAATGAAAAGGTTGAAGAACCTCCTCACCTCAAAGATAATGTGAACAACAAATCAGGTGTTCCAAGAGAGCAAAGAAGAAAATTCACCCACAATTCTTATTTCAGAGAATATTAAGTTAAAAAGTATCTCAAGATGGAGACAACAATGACTTTGAAGCTATGTTGAATTTCCTGTAATCAATTTAAAGCGTGTGTATAAAAGTAATTTACCACGTCCATTCAATCATTGTTCAAAAATATAATACTGTCCCCTGTGAGTGAACTGAGGGTTTTTTTCTTCAAAAAGAGAAGATGTTTTTCAGGTCAGCCGGAAAACATGACTAACTGCAGCTTTATTGATTTTGCTGTTTGTTGTGAACTAAAAGAAAAGAGGCGGAGGGAAGCAGGAAGTACAGAATCTTATCAAAGTTAGTGAGGTTGTGTTTATGTGATCTGTGGAGCAGCCACACGTGAGTGCTCGCTCAGCTGTCTTGTCTGACAGTCATGTGACCTGCACTTATTCTCCCAACAATGATGCAAGTCT